ATACATATATATATATACATACATATATATATATACATACATATATATATATACATACATATATATATATACATACATATATATATAATTAAAACTCTTTAGCCAACAACATAAATACAATTAGTTAAAATTAAATAATGTCAATCTAAGTAACAATTAAAAGTAAATTTCTTGGTAACCCCGTGCAGACATCCAGTGAATGAGTACTTGTTATGTCAGTAATATACATACGGCGGCAGTGCCTGTTAACTGATCGACCGTATTGCCTCCGCGAGCACTCATCCGTCATCGAGTCAATCACATTTCTATCACATTGATATTGCTCTTATGCCTTAAACGCAAACAACTTTTGTATAGTAGCCTCGTAAACCAAATGGTGTGCATGGAACCGTTCCTCTACATCCCGCTACTCTCGTCTCTGTTTTCATTCTAATTATATATATATGTGTATACATATACATATATACATATATACATATACATATATACACATATATACACATATACACACACATTATTATTTTATCGCGCGTTAACGCATTTTTTAAATTTATTATACATTTTTTATTTTTTTTATATTGAAAGACAGGAGACAATACATAGACATAACAACAAGAGGATGACAAGAACAGTGGGATAAAAGCCAGCAAACATCCTATAGTCTGTCAGCAGACACTCAGATCTCCGTGGTCAACACAGCAGACTTACATTTTAGTGCACCTATATGCTGAAATTCACAGTAAACACATTTAAACGGCACAGATCGGGATCGAGCGAAGGACTTTGAAAGTTAGCAGAAAGATTAACGTGAGACAACATCCGGTTTCTTCAGACGAACATCCGGTTTTCAGAATAAGATGCCAACAAAGTATGAATTATATTCACATTAAGTATAAAACATGCTACCTGCATCTCGTGAACCAAATGTTATTGCACTTTTGTTCATACAGCAGTACTTATAAAAGATAAAAGTGCGCAATACACTACTTTTGAATTCATTATTGAACTTTGCCGTAACAATGCGATTAATCGCATGGATTTTTTGCGATTAAATATTTTAATCGTTGCCCAGCACTAATATATATATGAACATAGAGTGTCTGTGTGTCTGCAGCACCGGACTTTGAATCTCCACTCCGCCGTGATCACCGGTCAGTCTTTTCCTTTTCATAGAGGCCTGGAACGATCTTCATACTGAAGTGGGTGCGTGAGGGGATTTCGTAGCATGGCTCAAGCACTTTAACCAGATTTGGAAATCCTTTTGTTTTCCACAACGGAGTGTCCCCCGTCGCTGACAGACCAGGATGGTGGCGCTTCATACGTGTGGACATGCCTGATGTATTGCCGTTGTCGTGTGTCTTTCTCTTTTAACGCCTACATACCGTAACAGTTTTGTCCACCACCCTTATCCGTCATTATAAGTTACAGGGAAGACAAAATGCTCCCAAACTTGCGGCTTAAATGACGCCGGTGGCTTCCTCTGCTCGCCGTGACTTTCACCGTTAAATGCTTCTAACCTGCTTCGTTCACGTGAACACACTACTGCTTTATATCTGTTCACTGACACTCTACATTGATATTCGGGGACTTGTTACTTGAAAAGGAACAGCAGCAGTAAAACTTTATTACACACTATGATGATTAAACTGTAAAAAAAAAAGAAATACTCAATTGATCACAAGTCATCCGAACCGTGAGGGGTGATCCGAAACGGTTGATCCGAAACGATCACGGATCAATCCGTGATCGTTTCGGTTCGTTACACCATTCGTTACACCATTCGTAAATTTGTACAAACACACCACTTTATCTCTACAATGTTTCAGAAGGAGTGTTATTGGAGTATTAAAGGTCTATAGAAGATGCATAGCCCAAGTATAATAATATAACAATAAAATCACAACTGACTCAGTATACCAGAATCAAATCTAATTATTCATTCACACACACACACTCACTCACACACACACCGATGGCACTGCCTTCGGCAGCATTTTGGGGAATACTATCTTGCACAAGGACACTTAGGACAGGTGGACTGGAGGAGCCAGAAATCGAACTGTCGATCTTTTGGTTAATGGACAACCTACTCTACCGAGCTCATACCGTGAAAGCGCCAGAATCTTAAAACAATACTGGAATAAAACTTTTTGGTCATACCACCCAGCATTACACACGAGACAGTGGAACAAAGGGAAGCTAAGAATTACCATTGTAGACCATTTCTAGCTTCATAACCTCACGAGAAAGTTGTCCTTAAGCACTGAGGAACACAAAACACTATTTCCCAAGCATTGTCCTGTACTCAACCCAGCCCTGTACTCACCCCAGCCACAGCCTGAGCCAGCAGAGTCTTTCCACAGCCAGGAGGTCCATGAAGGAGGAAGCCCCTTGGAGGAACCATTCCCAGCTGCTGGTACACCTCTGGGTGACGCATGTGGATCAGCAGCCTACACACCTCCTGTAGCAATGTAAAATGATTGTAAGTGAAAACAATACAAATGCAGAATATAACATATGCTCAACCCTGCCAAATTACAGCCTCACTGTGTAGGATTCAAAAACTTTCAATTTTAGTGACCATGCAGTGCAGCCACCCCCATTTTACTGTAGAAGAAAATTTGGCACAGCATCAAACAAAGCAGCAAGGTCAAAGGTACTTACTGTTAACGTCTCTTCATTACCTCCTACATCTTCAAACTTCAGAGTGGGATACTGCAGCTCTAGTGACTTTGATTTTGCTGAGAAATCATGTATACAGAAAAAAATACGTTGAATGCAAAATAGTTGTCACAGCCATCACAGTAGACTGTGGTAATTAAAAATATCTGTAAACCAATTGATCAACTAATTGACTATCAATCAATTCAACAAACTAAATAAATACACCCTACACATGAAACTAAATAACAAATATATTCATAAATTATTAAAACAGTTGCAACCGTACAGGGAATTCTTCATAAACTCAACGCGGATTACACTGCTATGTGGTGTTCAATAGTAGGTAAAGAATCTATACTTTATAGTTAGACTGGCAAACTAGACATGGTGGTACCTTTCTTATTCAGGATTCGAGACTCTGTAGTTTCAGTGGATATCTTCATCTTTTTTTTTGACTTTTTGTGAGATTTCTCAGGCTCCAGCATGGACACATCTGTCTGCTGGTGACAATAAAATATATGGCAGTAAGTGCATGAGTCAAACAATGTCAGCTGCCTACATCCCACTGGCAATAAACCTTGTTTGAGCCAAATTAACTTTACAATCCTGAATGACAAATACAGCAGATTAACCTCTCCATGTTAATCTCATCCGAATGGAATGTTTATGTTGAACGCTGGGTATTCAGATGAGCTGAGAAATGAAACCAGCTTTACATTACCCGCACTAGCAGGGGTCACTAATAGGCAGGCGGTCCGGACCCAGATGCTGTCCGGACCAATCCGGACCCGGACGTATAACTGATGGATAGTTGAGAATTATACATTTTGGCAGAGCGCTTCTATTTTAACCTGCACAGCTTTTCTAGCCTTTACGGCACTCGGTCAGTAGTCCAGGAAATACACCGACTAATTACATGCATTGTAAATCATCTCGTGATGCTACTCAGCCAATCGAATATCTGTATTCTGAAACATATCGTGAGCCGAGTGAGATTTACACACAGACAGGGGAGAGACGGGGCACGAGAGAGAGAGAGCAGTGGGAGAAGTAAGTCGGAGAAGCAATGCTCTAAAAAGAGAAAAGTGGACCGCAAAAACAGAGCTTTTAACAAAGAATGCATGGACTATTTGTTAATTCTTCCTGCTGCCGCTACAAAACCACTCTGTCTCATATGTTCAGATGTCGTGGCAATTATTGAAAGCGCCAATGTGAAACGCCACTACGAGACCAAACATGAATCTTTTGAGCAAACATACCCACTCCAGTCTGAACTGAGGGCAAGATGTTGAGATGTGTAATTTTAATTGAATACCCCTGATATACAGCTTGACTGCAAATTCACTGCTAATTAGAAAAAGCTGACGTGTAAGCATCATGAAATTCCAACATTGAATACATGTTTCCTGAACTAAATCTTACTCTCAATGCCAGTTTGTGGGTTTATGGTGAGAATATCAGGTCAAATGTACAGATTTCTGCTGTAACATTCCATACAACTGTTACAACTTAGAGGTCACCTTCTCTCAGCACTGATCTGTCAATCATTATCAACAAGCACTGCCCAGCAAAGAGCAGCAGGGCCTGACCAATATATCAGCATGGCTGGTATTATCGTGATATATTGGTATCAACAGATAAGCCTTAGAACTGATGGCATGACCACCAAAACAGTTATTACCTACTTAGTTAAAATGTCAGCATGTTAACTGTGTTGTTAAGTGCACAGTCATGCCCTCCAGTAAAACATACATTTGTTGCTGTATTAGTTGGCTCCTCTTCACACAGGTCGATAAGGATGTTGCTCTTCTCTGGTCCTCTGCCTCTATCAATAAACCAGCCTCCCGTGGAAACCAGCGTCCCCGAACTAGGAGGGAGGTTGGCTGTGCTGGCAGGACAGCTGGCAGCAGGCTGATCTCTCCTAGGTGAGCAGTTGCTGGAGTCAGGGTGACCCTTCCGGTAGAGAGATGCAAGAGAGCTGTTCATGTGGTTGGTGGGCTGTGAATGGCAAAAATCAGAAACAAGGAAAGGTTAGATGTCACTGTCAAAATGGACTGTGCCAGCTTTGCCAAATGGGAAATGTTAAACGTTCCAGAGGCATAAAGTTATCATATTAAAACTGGGCTTACTGATGTATTCAAAGCTATATCTTGTGCACGCGCCCTTCGAATGTGTGGAGCAGCCGTATTTGTGAGTCACCTGCATCAACACAGACGTTGAGAAATTAATTGAAACGAGGAAGCGCAGGCTAAAGCCAACAACTAATTACAAGTATCACAAAATGGTCAAATTGTCATACATTATGGCATTTTTGACTATTGATTGTAAAGAGGGCAAAATGATTGAACAAATTCAATAATAATCGTACATCTGGCAACGTTGGGATGTGCAGATAATATTAAGTCGCAGTCCAACATTTGAGAAATGTGCTGTTAGCCATCTTGCCCAGGGTCAGATGACAGGATGGATATCGATTTCATCTCTAAGCGTCCAGTACAGAGGGGATATGTTTAGCCTACCGTAGCACAAAACTAGAAAGAGAGGGAAATTGCGAGCCTAGCTCTATCAAAAGAGTTAATTTACATATTTCAAACCTGTCATAACTTATTAGTAAGCGAGACGTAAAGGTAATCCCCTATCTAATCCATCAATGTTATATAGCACGCAGACGTTGTGTGTGTGCGCTTGTACGCTCCCCCATCAGAAATTGACATTTTTATCTAGTTTTAAGCCACATCTTACGCTACACTTTTAGATCCTGGTTGTTTTAATCCATACGTTTTAAACTAGGCGTACCTTATTAGCTAACACGCACTAGGCCTTTTAAGTTGAACGTTCCCCAGACCAGACAGCCTGCTAAGGCTTGCTTTTAGCCTGGAGCTAGCTAACGCTAATGTTGGGGTCTGACTATGTGCTTGTGGTCCCCATGTGCCGCTGAACAAAGGAAAACACTTTGGCCTGCTTGTTCAGCCAACAGCCTGATCTGAGTTGAAGATAACAGCAAGCTCCAAGGAACGTTTAACATCTACGTGTAAAATCTTCACTCAAGCACAACGCTGGCCTCCCATTGGTCAAGGCCCGGGGAGGTCACCGTAAGATGTTTAGCTTGGTGTCTGTGCTTAGTTAGGTAATTGTGTGTTTATTATCTTGTTTGTGTTTTGCTTAAGATACTGGATTGTTATAACGTGTTGTGTATATGCTCGCGGTACTTCATACTATTACAACCGTGTTGAGATAGATCAGTCACCGCTAGCAAAGTCGGTAGCTGTTATTTTATCGGTTGAAAGATCAGAGCTGCGGCTAGCCGAAGCTAAATTCGCTAGTCGGGTCTCTGTGTGATAGAGTAACAATCTCCGTATTTCACCGCTGTGGTGAGGATCTGCTTTGTTTTGAAGGATTTCTTTTGTTGTGTTTGCTTTCTCTCTTCTTCTACTAACCCCCACACACACACATATAGTTACATGTATACTGGTTGAGCTAAGTACCTCAGACACGTGTAGATAACACGATGTCTATTGTCTCTTGCCATTTTGTGGTCTTGCGAGGTGTGGTCACGTATGACACTACCCCTCTATTTTGATAGTCCGATCTATCTTCAACGTGTAGTCCCACGTGACGTGCCATTGCTAGATTGCATCTGCCATTGTCTGAGCTGTTTTGTCGTGTGTTCCAACGATTCGATCGTATGTTTTGGACTGTTTTTGGACAACCTGCCTTCTCACTATACTTTGACCGGCCCTCCTTTCTGGATAGTGACGGAGTCCCGAACCAAACTGAGAAATACACTTGGCTGCGGTGTTTGTTCTCTGTCAAGCCTGGTCTTATCGTTGTTGAGGTATAATCCCGGATTTATTCTCCTTCAGTCCCGGTGTGGTTTTCCGATGTAGGCGAGGACCGCTGCCTCTTCAATAAGATAATTACTACCGCAACCAGTCTACTAGCGTGGTAGTCTAGTAGACTAGTCTTAGCTGCAATGCTGTAGATTCTCCTTTGGTATTCATCTGCTCCGGCGACCTGACTTAAGGTCGCACAACAAGATCTCCAACCTCGGCTAAATGACATCGGTCTCAGTGAGCATGGTGGGTCACTACTACTCCATAACTGAACTCCTCACACTCAAACCGCAGTCTTTAACCCCGGAATGCAACATCATCCTGAATTTAAGAGCCATGGGGCTTTTAAGATGACCTCGCTACGGTCATTTTGTTTTTAATTCTACATCGGAAAACTCCATCTTGTCTCTGTGTCGTCTCCCTACTTCCTCATTTCGTCATCACAACAACAAACCCCACGTGAACAATCTGCACACCCTCACAAGATCATCTCAACCCATCAGAATGCAAAACAGCCTAAAAAAAAAAAAAGCTTGCCCTGTTCAACACCCGATCCCTTAACAATAAAAGTCTCCTCATACATGAATTCATCACGGCAATATGCTTGATCTACTCTGCAATACAGAAACTTGGAACATGGGGAATTGCTATTATACACCATAAGGGGACGATCACACCAGATCATTTTTCTAACTAAAATAGTAACTATCCACACTGAGCTGGCCACTGCCAACTCCACCCCTTCTCTGTCCAATACTCCAACTTCTCTTATCAACCAGCACCTCTCCGACTTTGCCGCAATCACCCCCTCTGCCCTTCAGAAGCAAATCTCTGGCATGAAGACTCCCACCTGTGCCTTCCACTTATGTAAAAACTGTCTCCCAAGAATCAGCCCACTCATCAATCGCCACAATAAACTCCTCCCTCTCCACTGGTCAGTTCCCATCTTCACTCAAAGTGGCTGCTGTTACGTCCATCCATACACCTGGACCTGACCCTAACATCCCAAATAACCACTGACCTATATTAAATCTCCCCTTTCTCTAAAAAAAAAAAAATGCTTGAACGCACTGTTGAACGCACAATTGAAAACCCACTTGACCTTTATGAACTGTTTAAACCTGGTTTCAGAACACAACATAACACAGAAACTGCCCTCTTAAAAGTCATAAATGACCATCTCCTTACCTCAGACGACTGTCTGCTCAACATACTCATCCTATTTGACCTTACTGCAGCATTTGACACCATCAACCACTCAAACCTCCTCACCCGCCTGGAATCCTCTTTTAGTATCAAAGACACTGGCCTCTCATGGTTCAAAACCTACCTCTCAGACATACAACACTTCTTTTGTGTAAACGACTGCAAATCTGACCTGTGTCTGCAACAAATCTGAAGTCATCATCATGAGCCCATAAACCCCCCAATAGCTCCCTCCATGTAGATGACTACACTGTCTCCCCTTCTTCCAAAATCCGCACCGTGGAGGAATTTTTGATGCTTTCATTTGAATCCCACAAAATTGCTCTTTACATATTACACTTTTTGAGTATGGACTGTGAAGTGTGAAGCATTGGATCACAAATGAACCAGTCCGTACAGGCATGCACACATGTTCTCTGAGCGACCCTGAAAAGATAAACATCGAACAAAAAGTTTGGAAATTAATGTTTGGTAGATTATTTCTCTGTTGTAACAATGCTTCTTGGCAATAAATTGTATACCGTTGGAAAGCCTGTTTATTTCCCTTTCAAACGGTGCCCCATTTGTAAGGAACATGCATTTGTGGGATGAGCAGCACAGCTGAGTATGTGGGTTGCGCCCATGAAAAATTTGCCAAATCTTCTCTGCCAATGCCAAACAGCTTATTCTGCTGTTGCTATTGACCATCAGGCCAGTTTGCCCTGGTGTCGGCAACACCTGCACTGGAACCTGAACATGTGGAGGAATGTTATGTTCAGCGATGAGTCCAGATTCTGCCTAAAGAAGTTGAATCGTAGGGTCAAAGTGTGGAGAAGAGGGGAGAACGCTATGCTGATTGCTCCACCTTTTGGTGGAGGCAGTGTGATGGTGTGGGGCAGCATCTCCATCACTGGAAAAACGAGGCTTGTCTTCATTGGAGGCAATCTCAATGCAGAGAGATATCGAGATGAGATTCTGCAACCAGTGGCAATCCCATTTCTCCAGTCTGGGACCGAACTCCATCCTCCAAGATGACAACGCTCGCCCCCACAGAGCGGGGTTTATCAGAGACTACCTCCAGAATGTGGGAGTGGAGAGGATGGAATGGCCTGCCAGCAGTCCTGACCTCAACCCAATTGAACACTTGTGGGATCAGCTTGGGCGTGCTGTTCGTGCCAGAGTGACCAACACAACCACATTGGCTGACTTGCGACAAATAAATAAACAGGCTTTCCAACGGTATAAGATTTATTGCCAAGAAGCATTGTTACAACAAAGAAATAATCTACCAAACAATGATTTCCGAACTTTTTGTTCGATGTTTATATGGCAATGTTAAAGCGACATGATAATTTATCCTCTCAGTACAGTTGTATTTCTTAAGGAAACTCAAGAAGGCACAATTCCTGTGCCAAATTGTCAACTTCTACAGAGAAGCAATAGAAAGCATCCTGACTGGAAACAGTACAAACATGCATGGGATATGCACGGCCCAGGTCAGGAGATCTCTACAGCAGATGATTAAAACCACACAGAACATCATTGGTACCCATCTACTGAGCATCACTAATATTGGTGAGAAGAGGAGCCTTACAGTGTTCTCCAGAACGTGGTCATCACTGTCAGAAGACTCTCCTAAGCTGCTGCCGTCATCACTGTGAACACACAGATTTGTAAGGCCTTAGTTGCACATTTAAAAAGAGAGTACATTAGAAGGAAAGACTGGTTAGAGCCCTGAGGTGAAAGACGGTCTTCAAAACCAGGCAGTAAGCAGGGAGTGTCCTTTACCCAGTGTCATTGTGGCTGTGCTTGGCTCTCTTAGCCAAGTGTTTGCTCTCCTGATCATTCAGCCCGGAGTCCTTCATGATTGCATCATACACTAGGAGAGAGGATTGAGAAAAAAAAAATCAGAACTCACAGATCCTATTCCAAGAGATTTTGATCATGAACACTGGAATACGGTATCAATCTACTTTTGCCTCTTTTACCTTTTTCTACTTGAATCCTGAAAGCTGTCTTGTTTCTCCTGCCATACTCCATTCTAAAGATGCAATATAAACCAAACACATCATCACTTTTATTTAGCATACATACACATACACTCAGTGTCCAGTTTAGTTAAGACAAATGCAGTCATATCCAACAGCCTGCAATAACCCCCACCGTTATGGAGGTGCAAATGTTCAGTTTTTGTCCGAACCCTTTGAGGTGTTGATTCAACTGTATGCTAATTTTTAGGGTTGTAGTTTATGCTGCTGTTGAACTTTATTGTAGTCTACTGACAGGTGTTTCACCTCACACATATCAATAAAGGTAGAGTAAGTGAATGTAAGTAAGTAAGAAAAAGTACTTCTATACATGCGATTATATACTTTGATAAACCAGTGCTCAACATTAACTTTTAAAAGTGGTTGCCATGTTGCCAATCAGGCATCAGCTTCTGGTTGGCAAAACTGAAACTAGGGTTGCCATTTTAAGTCATCTTATATTTAGATTAATTAAGATAAAATGCAGTTTTACATCAGCTCAGACTGTAATATTTATTACTGTAATAAAACTATTACAGTAATCAAACAAAACATCAGCTTGTCCATCATCTCTACTTTCAGCTGAATTCCATCTCACATACGTCTGAAGAGATTGGGGTGCACATTTTGCTGTTCCTATTTCATATATGTGTATACACCAGTGGTGGGCCGTCAGGGCCAGCTAAGCCTTCTCTGCTGGCCTAAACAGAATCACAAAGTTATAGCTATTTTATAATTTAATAATTTTTCACAAATACACTACATGCATTATAATTTTTTTTCCCCATTAGCTTATTTTCTCATTGCACAGCTCCTGTCTTCTGCTGTTGCTGCTCTGCTTCCAGCCTGCAGCGCTGCTTCCAGCAAACCTTGTTTTAAAGTCTTCAACCAATCAGATCTTTAGTTTGACATGTTGGGCGTATTCTTTGACGTGCCAGTGGCACCGAGGTAGCCTGCTAAGTACGTCTGCATTAACGTGCGCCGTGATTGGTCAGTGGGCGATCGCGTGATTAATGTGAAATTTAAGGAAGCTAGCAGAAGTTAGTTGGAGTAGTAAGAGTTCAAATTGAAAGATATGGAAGAAATTATGAATTTTTTAGGGTTTTGCTTGGTGTAGTTTATCTAAACGTCGAACAAGTGATGGCATCTCCATCACTGGAAAAACAAGGCTTGTCTTCATTGGAGGCAATCTCAATGCAGAGAGATATCAAGATGAGATTCTGCAACCAGTGGCAATCCCATTTCTCCACAGTCTGGGACCGAACTCCATCCTCTAAGATGACAACGCTCGCCCCCAAAGAGCAGTTTATCAGAGACTACCTCCAGAATTTGGGAGTAGAGAGGATGGAATGGCCTGCCAACAGTCCTGACCTCAACCCAAGTGAACACTTGTGGGACCAGCTGTTCGTGCCAGAGTGACCAACACAACCACGTTGGCTGACTTGCGACAAATCCTGCTTGAGGAGTGGAATGCCATCCCGCAGCAGTGTGTGAGCAGGCTGGTGACCAGCATGAGGAGGAGGTGCCAGGCTGTTGTGGCTGTGTTTGGTTCTTCCACACGCTACTGAGGCTCCTGTTTAAATGAATAAATTGTAAAATTGCCAATATGTCTTGTTTCTTCCTTGTAACTGATAGACTTCAATCATCCAATCCACCAAACAAGAGTCAATAGCAACAGCAGAATAAGCTGTTTGGCATTGGCAGAGAAGATTTGGCAAATTTTTCATGGGCACAACCCACATACTCAGCTGTGCTGCTCATCCTACAAATGCATGTTCCTTACAATTGGGGCACCGTTTGAAAGGTAAATAAACAGGCAAGCATTGTTACAACAGAGAAATAATCTACCAAACACTAATTTCCGAACTTTTTGTTCGATGTTTATTTGTATGAACGGTGTTCCTGGCTGACAACTCGCACATTTTATAGCTGGGAATGAGTTTCATTTTAACTGAGCATCTTGGTGTTTGGAGCTACGCTAAGCTAACCTGAGGACACCATAGCACGGCAGGACACTACGGTGCTTTTGAAAACTTTTGGAGAAACCCGAGTGGATCTACAGATCAACAAACACATTCGCAGGGAAACGGAGTTCCACAACCGCGGCCCACCCGCTGCCGGCCCCGCTGCGAACCGGCCACCGTAAACTGGCGAAATACAACTGGGGAGGCTCGAATGTCACTGGCGTCCATGAATCGAGAAGGACTTCTTACTGGAACTGAAACGATGTACCGTGGGATTAAACTCTTTGTCAACAAAGAAAGGACGATGGAGTTTGTCTTTGAGTGAACAGCATTTGGTAAGTGACAAACTGTGTTTGTTTTTTTACATCTGCAGTAATGTTACTACTGTTCATTTGTCTATCGTGTCGTTTTATGAATAATATTTGAATGGCTCGTGCTCTTGTGTGGTGGAATGCATGGATCCGCTGCAGGTTTGCTGGATTGATGCGTCATGCTTTGTTGTCATATGAATATATGTGACTGGTTCTTATGACTTTGTTGTTGTCATTGTGTTAATTACATTGATTTGACTATGCATTGTGCATTAATGACGCAGCGTTCCATGATGCACGGATTCATGTATCTGCACCGTAGCTGTTCAACTGTAGTAGGACAGCACAGAAGGCCCAGGTATAAAATGTACGGCCGGCCACCGGTATACACACGCATATTTTTTTACATGTTAAAAGTGGTTGCCACTGATGGCAACCAAAGGTAAAGACTCGGTTGCAAATTTCTCAAAATGCTTGCCAATGGCAACCTGGCAACCCTTCTTCTTTTTCGTGTTTATGACTGGAGCATATGACAGAACACATTCATCAACATTAGAAAAGGAAGTGTGGAGATCTGATTAAGAGCAATGGACTTTGAGACGATCAGCACCAATGGCCAACCACCCAGCAAGACCTGCCGGACAAAATGACACCGAAAGCAACTGCTCAAGGGAGAAGAGCCGAGATGGAAGCTAAGCTAACCCAGCTAGAACCCAAGGCTACTCCACTACCCAGCCTACTCCTGGCTGTCTGATGTACGAAAATAAGGTAGAGGAAATAAGACTTGAGGCAAACCCACCAACAGGTTGTCGGTGATTAAACGCAGGACAAAAAATGGACTACAGGAAGGCACTACTGTTTTGTTTGTTTGTCTTGTGTTTCTTGTTATGCATTCCTGTGTTGCATAATGACAATACATGATCCTTGAATCCTTAAATGATGCACTTGCCTGTACAGTTTTTGAAGTTCCATGGCCATAGCTGAAAGGTCCACATATTCCCTGGTGCAGGTCGTCATATACTGAAACCAGAATTCAACATCAAACAGGGTCCAGGTTTAACTACAACATCATCAGATATTTAGACCCAATCTCTGATTGGATTTAACAAGAAAAATAACACTGATAAAGCATTATGCACTTCATGCAAGAACAAGAGGGATATTAGATTTACATGACATCACTGCTTTTGTCTCCCTCATATCCTCTGATGGCTGGCAGTTACCATACCGTCCCATGAAGACATTTATCCTCGTCACCTGTTTATTTACTCTTTGACGTAAATACTATATACATTTATTCTATTATTGCTATTATTACTTTGCTTGGTGAATGAGTATTGAAAAGGTAAGATTGTCAAATGGCATAATTTGTATGTCTTGATTCAGCATTATTTTCTTATCTTGTGTATGATGTGCTATAAAAATGGATGATTTGGTGTGTAAATGGACTATTATTTATACAGGGCCTTTTTAGTCTTCCGACCACTCTTCACCAATTCACACACATTCACTCACAGCTGGATCAGTCGGCTTTAACAGATGGAGTTTGTATCTGCACACATGATCAGTGTACTTTTACTAATAAAGACACAGTAATCATCACTGTCAGAGTGTGTTCTTTTTTGTAGCCCGTTACCTGTTAACAAACTGCATTTAGTATACCGCTCTGTTTATAAGTGCAGGATCGATTTTTACCGGCAGAATGAGTTTGTGTTATTTATTCATTAATTGCATCTGTATGTTTTGAAATATGACGTCATTATTAAATAACCCAGAATATGATTATGGTTTCTCTTGAATACTGGAATAAATTTATTAGGCTCAATGTTTTAGGGGAAATTGACATAACTCATCAAACCCGACACTCAGGAACGATCAGCCTCACGTGACTGAATGGAAATGATGATAAATGATGTAAAAAGTTTTTCGTCTCTCCAGCTCTCTCTAACTTTAATTGTATCCATAATAAAAGTTAAGGAAATATTAGATCAAGAAAAGACAAATCTTTCTAATAAATGAAGAAAGTTGTTTGTGGCGCTTTTGTTGTTCAGACCTACAACAAACTATTTAAACCAGATGGCGAATCAGAAAACAAACCAAATATAAAGCTTGAGTTTAATCTGTGATCTGTCTTCACTCGGGTATTAAACTCCAGTGATGTTGAGAACAATCAGATCAGTCCGATCAGCTACAGCGTCCAATCACATAACTTATGAAAAGTGAAACACTTTCTGGATGCCTGTTCTCGTGCATCCTCACTCAGGGCTCCTCAGAGATCCCTCCACGCTCCTCAGAGCAGAAATGATAGCTTTGGGACGGCCGCCAATATGGCGGCGTAGAACAACTTACGGTTCAAGTGAGGAAATGACAAATAAGAGACTTGGGATGTATCCATATACTGATGGCAGGGCTAGCATGCAAGGTGCCACCTGCCCATCAGGATTTAAACTAAGGCTACGAATAGTAAACGCCCGCTCCCAACTGAGCCATGGCCGTGTGAGTGTGTAAGATATGATGCAGTACAGTGAAAGGGAAAGAGCTTATCTGTTTATACTGAACTGTGAAATGACACAATCTTTTTGGCTTATTTGTGAAATCAATACATCTGAACTCATTACATACATCCGAAGAAGAATGAGAACAAGGATTTGTACCTGCTCCACTCTCGGTCTGAGCCGACTGTCCAGACAGCCACCACTTCTGTTCTTCATTCCTGTGCTTATTTGATCCTGCAGCAGGATAGACCAAAATCAGAAATATAGCACAGCATGTATTCTACACTCTTTTTCGGGAGCAATGACATCGGCAATACAAAACAACCAATCAGGAAAGGCGAAGGGTTTTATTGGCATAACCAACTCACTGACCAAATATTCTTAACTCAGGGTACACTTACCAGCTGTTTTTCAAAGTCTTCGACAGAATCTCATTGTGAGCGTGTAAAAAAGTAAGTCAATGAATCTCTGTGGTCAATGAGCTGTTTGTTACACATCTAAGTGATGTTACAGTGCATTCACACGTGATAGATTCAAAGAGGCTGGCTGTATCTTGCTTCTGACTCACACGGAAAACTTCACAGACCCCATACTTATAGAGACAACAAACTGTGTCTTTGTATAGGAAGAGGTAAAGTCAGGATTCCAGGAAACATCTTGGAGAGATTGATAGACTACAGAACTTTCCCATGTAGAATCCTGAATATTTGAGCAGGTCCTAAATTCTGTCAAAGGTAAATATTACCTGCAGTCACCACGTTCTATTCTCCTTGACCAAACTTCAATAAATATTTCAGCTGACTCTCCTTTTTATCACAAGTCAACCACTTCACAGTTATTCATCACATACACCACTTACATTCTTCTTATTCCAACTGTCAATATGAACAGCTCGCAGAAGATTTCCACTCGCAGCAGGGACAAATGTACACAAATTAATATTAAGCAGGGATAAAGATTATTCATCAATACCCAATTGAATGATTTAACAATAAACATATATTGGTATTAATAGATAAGTCATATAGCCTATACAAATTAAAAAAATACTGCAGCAAGTTCTCACATCTAAGTAGCTTGTTCCCGCTAATATGGGGGACTTTAACGGGAAAATTTCTTTTGATCATTTATCATTAGGTATACTGTCATCATTTCTTAAATATAGCTTTAACGTTCACCAAACATTCTTTTAAGAAATAACGAACGGAAAATAGGAGGCACAAAACATAAAACACCAGTGGCACATTCACCCGCTATAATGTGGAAGCAGACTGGATTCAAACCACAGACGCATTCTCAGTCAAACAAAACAAGGTTATTTACCTCAACAAAAACACCACCACGTTGGCAAGCGTAACCAATTATTTTGTTGTGATGGTAACTCGGTTTAACATCTAGCACATGGACGTATTATGGAACCATGGTTTGTCAGCGTGACGATCCCGGAAACGAACATTGTTCTTCTTCGTCTGCTTCCCCCTCTTCTTTTTTAGTTTAATGACAGTGCAACCATTGCTTACAGTGCATACCACCACCTACTGTACCGGAGGATGTAGTATAAGGTATTATTGTCACTGGATGATTTTTGCAGGTTTGCAGCCACGATAAGTCAATCAGTCAGCCAGCAATAAAGTTATAATTCAGGGTAAATCAGCTCTTTTTACAGTCAGACTCATCACAAGTCTTAACACTATAGCCGGAAACATTCACCCAAATAGTTTAAAAAGCCTTAATTAAATCAATAAATTGATGATATAATGAATCGTTATATACAAACAATTCAGTGTTTGTGCCCATTGTAGTTTATTCACGTTCAATTGTGGGAAAGTGGCAGAAATATGACTTTATGACAGTTATATATTATGTACATTATTTAGAATATTTGTTTATTTCTTTGAATTAGCTCTCCATAAATCTATGGTTGGAGCACACAACGTTTGAAAAAGCGCAACGTTTACGAGCTGTCTCTGTTTATGATTCTCTATTTCCTTTACTTCATTTTCATTATTAAAGTTTGATAATGGAACAAGCTGATGTTTTGGTGCGCTGAATTGCATTTGCACGTGTTCATTCAATGCAAAAATACCACAGACAAAGCGTTAACTGCGTTTAGGCAGCATTGGCTATCGAACAACACATAGCAGAATACACATTAACACAAGTAGACCAATGAGATTAGCTAATGCCCCTAAACTGACATTGTTCATTATACAACAGCAACAATGGCAAATTAATTATACTTCGTGCACAGACCCTCAATCTCGTTTTTACCCAATTTCTTTATTAGTATATATTTTCTAATTTATTTGTATCAAACACAAAATAAGCTAATCTATTTTAATTGTAGCTTACAGTTTCATTGTGATGTAAAAAGCTTTATTTATTCTTGTTATTTAGTTTTTTTAAGTTATTGTATTTGTAAACTCAGATTTACTTTAAATTGTGAATAAATACCTGTTTAAGAAAAACGTTTATACTATTTGCACATACGCCATGAGAGAAAAGCTGCTCTCACTTTCACTTCCTCGTAAGGTTATTTTAGGGTAATTACTTCCTCCTTTTATGTTCTAGGCCTGGTCTGACGGTGTAGCAGTCATGAAGGACGATCACAGAACAGAAGAACAGGCGGAGGTTTCCCGGCAGGAGGTTTATGAAGATTATGTGAACCATTACCTTCAGCCATGTCCAGAGGTTCGGCCGTGCTGCGATCCCTCGTTGCTGAAGAAGGCGGCTCAGTATCTGCTGAGGGAGCCAGAGCCCAGAGAGACTTTCACCGTGTTCCCATTCTACCAGGCTGTAAGGCAGGATTGTATATCACAGAGCACATACGGAAGGAAATATCTGAACGCTTTTATTAAAGCCACCGAACTGCTGGAAACTATCTGCGTCAATCTATTCGTTCAACCCTGGAAGAAAGAGATCAAGACACTTAAGGTGGCTTTCTTCTTTTTCTTTCTTTCGTTTGTTTTTCTTCAGCCACTGCCTTTCAGGTAACTTGAATTACCCCGTGTGTAGGGGTAATTCAAAGTGAATTGAGGAATACTCAACATGTAAGCATTGTATCGGATTAAATTATGAAGTTACTTAATTTTGACACATTTTCAGTGTGTACAGAAACTGAATACAAACTCAAACCTGCCTTAAATTAGTGCTTCGTATTGAATTGGGACACAGCTAGTGTCTCCATGGCATGAGTTGTAGACCAGAGAGCATTGACGATTATGAAATTATTTTTTAACTATAAAATGTCACACTCTCTACATATCTTGGTCACAAATCTTTAATGACCACATTTTAACGATCCTTAATAAACTACTGTTTCTTTATTTAATAATAAATAGATAAATAATATAAATGTATTTATTTTTCTCTCTGTCTCTTTCAGACGTTTACTGGTCCATTTATTTACTGTCTCCTGCCAGTTCTCAGCAGTTCTACCATTCAGTCAGTCCTGGGCTCTATTGGCTACCTGCCCCGTACTGATACTCCACAAAGGTAGGGAACAAAGAAAATAAGAACCAGAACAAGAGTGACAATAAATGGTTTAGACATCAAGCAATACGATGGCTAGGGTGTCTCCCTGCCAGGAGAAACATACACCATGCACACATCCACTTGTAAACAGTGAATTAGGCCTGCACTTTAGCCAGGTGAGTTAGACTTAAGATGTCTTGGCAAAGCATGTCAAGCACCTAAGATATAATATGTCAAATGTACAAGTGTTCATATGTTCTCTTTTAAATTTTTGTGAGAAAATCAATTCAATTCAATTGAAATGGTCTTGATTGGCATGGGAAACATATGTTTATGTTGCCAAAGCAAGTGTGGTATAAATACAAAAAAATGTATCTACAATAAGTAAAGATCTTCGAGAACAGTGGTTTCCAACCCCGGGGTCAGGGGGGGGGCAAAAATCACAAGGCGTATGCCAGGATTTAGTCGCCAGAGGTTGTCAAAATTAGATTTGGACATATAGAACTTGAATTATAATAACACACTTACTGGATCATTTATACAAAAGTCTGTTTATAAATTAATTTTCCTCACTCATAGGCCACATTCTGCCAGGCGTATTTCTTCGCAGTTACAGATAACGATCGGGCTACACTATTATCATTAGTATACTATTCAGCGAATTAGATTCCAGTGGTGGCTTCGTATGATTGTCTCTGACTCCTGCGATCCAAACATTACCACAAACTCCAGAATGCTGTACAGTAAAACTAAATGTAAATGGACTGTATTTGTACAGCACTTTTCTAGTCTTTCCAACCACCACACAAAGCGCTTTCACACTACTTGTCATCATTCACCCATTCACACACTGATGGCAGGGGCACCTTCGACATGCAACTAGCAGAGCCGGGGATCGAACCGCCAACCCTCTGATTGAAGGACGACCCTGTTGTCGAAATCGATGAGTCATATTTATTAATAAAAACAACAATAACAAACTCATTTAATACACTGAATCACTTTATTCAAATTGAGAATTTTGTTCATGGACAGCCATTTATGATGTCAGAAATGGGGGGCTCATCTTCTCTTAGATAAAAGTCACACACATGACTTGGAGGTATTCAGTTACTTCAGTCACATTATGATTCTGTCTCCTCTCCCCCTCTCAGCCCACCCTTTCAAAATAAAAGCCCCACAGAGTGAATTCTAACTGGAATGCTTGTGATGAAGCCTGTCATTTAATAACCTCGGTGTATGTGTGTCAAATATTATGATTATGCCTCCTCTCCCCCTCTCTCATCACCCCAGTCCCACCCTTTCAAAATAAAAGCCCCATGGAGTAACTGTATCTGAACATGAAGCTCAGAATGAGGTTCATGTTAAGAAATGTTAAGTACAAGTCTTTCCATCACAAATACAGAAATGTAATTTTGAAAGGTATATATCTCAAATACAGAAATCATTTCCAAAGGTATGTGTCTCAAACAAAGGTATATATCTCCAAAGGCTTCTCAAACAAAGATGTATATCTCCAATACAGAAATGACGGGAGCGATTTGTGGACTGTCCATCAAGAATACAAGATTCAATCCAAGAGTATGAATCAAAAATGCAGAAAAGAGAGAAGCGATATTTCAATTGAACCTCAATGACACTACCGGTAATATTGGCATGTATATTGCGACGTCTTCGGGCAGTAAAAGCCACACTGTCAAACTTTCTTGCGAAATTTTCTAGTTCTAATTTTGTAATTCAATTAGATTTATTTTGTATAGCCCAAAATCACAAATTTGCCTCAAGGCTTTACAATCTGTACACATATGACTTCTTCTGTCCTGGGACCCCGACAGGACAAACTCCCCCCAAAAAAACTTAAAACTTCTTGTACTTCTTGGGGGCGACAGAGTACACAGAGTACACACGTGTACAATTCACTTTTGCGAAATGAATAAAATTATATTTTATGACATATCATATACCTATGTAACAAAGAGATTCTGGGCGAAACAACCATGGGAGCCATTTTACACACTGCAAACACAATTATACACAAACTAATATATCTAGAAGATATCTAGAAGATTTACCACAATATCACGTATTTCTCGCCCAAAATCGGCGGCGTATGCACTCCGTTTGCATCTCCCATCACAAAGCTGGCAGCTATCATGGCGGATTGATACATGCGGAAGCATGAGGATTCGACCCCGCGTCAATTCATACTCTTTAGATTCCTCTCCATCAAACCGTTCAAAAGTTACATAAACAAAGCCAACTAACAACACACCGCTCCCCAGAAAAAAAATTTAACCGCCGCGTACCTTTTGCTGATTTTCATGCCGAAAAACGCAGGTAATCCATTGAAATCCGCATAAGCATTATATTCCGTCTCCCCCACTGTCTGTGTGAATTGAAATGACGGTCCTAGGAGCTTCTATGTGGAAATGGTCAGCATTCCCCTCCTGGACCAATGGTTTTACTCATGGGGGTTGTGCCAAGCAGATAGAGATTTTTAGTGGCTAGAAGGCTGTCAATCTACTAAATAACCCGCCTACTGCTTTCGTGAGTCTCTTCCGCATTGAATAAGGTGTCACATGATGAAATCCGCCAATCACAGGCCTTACAAAGGCTTACAAAGACACAGAGACGAGAATATTCCATGGAGGAGAGATATGACAGCTCAAAATGGCTCAAAATGATGCCAAACTGCTTTATTAGGATTATTGAAGACAAGTGAATATATAGTTAATATATAGTTATATAGTATATAAAATTAGAATAGAGCAGCGCAACAGCTGGTTCCAAAAATGAAAATTTGGCTTGACTGTCCGTACTCAGACCTCATTTATGCTGGCCTGCTTCACTCAATCGAAGTAAAATGTGTTGTGGAGACTGTAAACACGTTGTGCTATGACTGTGGCATATTTTTAGGCTTGGATCTGCATTATTTCAAATAAATATTTTCAATACAAGTGCTTTTTTTTCCAGGCGAACCTGAAACTTTTTCAATTTGAGCTGTGTGCCATCTTCATTCACTATTAACCAGTAACATATACACAATATTTTCACATCTCAACACATCTCACAAGTGTTACCTGAATTGTAGCATCACAATTATTAAAATAGACCTTGTAGTTACAGAATGAAAGTCTTTTTAGTATGGGTACACAATTTTTGAGCAGAGGCTTAAAAATAGGTCTAGGGTTTAAGAGGATTAACAGGGGGGAAAAAGGAAGAAACCTTAAAGGGAGCAACAAAGGAGGGATCCCTCTGGATGGACAAAGCTGCAATAGATGTCATGTGTACAGAATGAACATCATAACAGAGTTACAACACATTCAATGCATATTAATATAATTATAGTAATAAGCAGAATAATGATGGAAAAATTACAATTACTAATAATAGCAGCAGTGGATATAGTAGAATAATAATGATAATAAAAACAATGGTATTGGCAATAGTAATAACGTGACTACAAATAATAATGCTACTATCATTATTAGTCATAGTCAGTGGGTGTCAGGCAGGACCACGGTCCAGATATAACGACGATCCATCAGAACCTGTGAGGCGAGAAAGTACAAAGACTCCGGGGAAGAAGCAAAGTTAGTAATGTTTATTAATGGGACATGAATTTATACAGAAGGAGAGAGAGAAGAGGAGAGAGGAGATCAATGTATCCTACGAAGTCCCACAGCAGTCTAATGCTGCGTTCACACCAAACGCGTCGCAAATTATTCGCGCCAGTAGATTACATACAAAGTCTATGCACAGACGCGATGAGACTGGCGCGGCGCGAATTTGCGATGGCGCGGAGCGATGGATGCGAATTTGCGGCACGTCCAGCGCGATTCGCGCGATTCACGCGAATGAACACTTGGTCCCCGGCGTTTTGACCGGCAGCGCGATGGATGCGAATATGAGGCGCGATGAATTCGCCACGCGTTTGGTGTGAACGCAGCATTAGTCCAGCCCCTAGATATGCTGCTAAAGGCTGAGGCAAACCTGAGCCAGCCATAACTATAAGCGTTATCAAAGACGAAAGTCTGAAGCCTACTATGAGATGTGGTAAGTGTGTCTTCCCCAGACTGAAACTGGAAGCTGGTTTCACAGAAGAAGAGCTTGATAGCTGAAGGTTCTGGCTCCCATCTTACTTTTTGAGATTCTAGGAACCACAAGTAACCCCTATATGCTTGTAAATGTTTTCAATCACATTTGATCTTAAATGTACACGTAACATTTGGAAACTGGGGGGTTTGGGGTTGTACCAACTAAATCAGGGAGTGAATCTTGAAGCAAATGGGGAAAGTTACCAACATGTTGGATTCAGGCCAGGTTCTGTCATTTGTGAAGTAGCATTTGGTCCGCTCTTCTCATCCATCACCATTTGTCTTGTTCTCTTTAGTTGTCCTCTAACTGTTTGATGTATTTCAGTGAATACAGACTCAGTGAGGATGCTAACCCAGACAGGGCCATGCTACTGGGCTTCGAACTGCTGCTGGCCAGGGTGGAATGTGACCACCTCCTGAAGATCTTGGAGAAGGATCAGCTGGGACCACAGGTAAGATCACAAATCGTCCAACCATGTTAAATATTTGCCTTTTAATGACATAAGTTAAGTTTTAGAAAAGGAATGAATTAAAAAAAAGAAACACTTAGATCACACATTTGGGGATATATAAACACACACATTGTCAGTGTATCTCATTAGCATGGAAAATACTGATAGTGATACTGAGTATCTAATATGTTCTACTCTGTTATTTTATTGTATATATTGTGCATTTTTCATAGTTAATATTTTTACTCTGTTACTTCATTTGCTGAAGTATATCTTTGCTGCTGTAACAAACAAATTTCCCCCTGGGGATGAATAAATATCTATCTATCTACCAGTCCTCCACCCAACACCTATATGTAAATGAATGGCAGCCATAGGATAGGGTTTACAGTAGATCAGTGTCATTTCATGGTTTTCATGTGCTGTAACCTTACACTGCAGGAATTTCTGGAGGTTCTCCAGAGGAGAATGGGGTCTACAAAACTGGATGAACCTACAGAGAAGAAGACAATATTAGGACAAAAGGAAGAGGAGAACAAGACGATGGAAGAGGTATATATATGAGGAAGGGCAAAGTGCAGAAGTTTGGGTGACTGTGTTGAGAATGCAGTGGCGGGCCGTGCATTTTATACCTGGGCCTTCAGCGCTGTCCTACTACAGTTGAACCACCTCCTAATAACCTCATTATGACGTCACAGCTACGGGTTTGTAACCGGTTGTATATGGACCCAAATGCAACACACAGGATTCCAGGGATCTTTGGCTTTTATTACAAACTTCAATAACAGCAGGCAGAGTTAATCAGGATCAGAAGGCTGGTGGGTTTACCGGGAGTCAGGCAAGGCGGGAAGAACAGGGGCAGGCAGGGTCGGTAACAGGAGATCAGTCCGTAAGAGCGTGCTGGAGAGTCTGGCATAGAAAACCGAAGAACAATCTGGCAAATGTGTCTGGGAGGCAGGAGTCTATATAGGGGCCTGATTACTGATCAGAGGCAGGTGAGTGAACAGGTGAAGGGAGTTAGAACTGATGAGGGAGTGACTGACAAGTAGAGTGAGGAGGGTGTGGAGCTGAATTGTGACAGGGTTATTATTTGTTTCTAGGGGTGTAACAATACACGTATTCGTATTAAATCGTTTGGTATGAGGCTTACGAACCGAACAATACGTTTGAATAATACTATTGCATTTGGAAAATGCAGAAGCTTAAATTGTGGGAAATATAATGTTTTCGGTGGACTACGCTCAACCCGGCAACATGCTGTCTGACACTCCCACCCCGGAACCACAAATTTGTACTCTGGTGAGGCGCGTGTGTTCTGGGAGGCACACTATACTAAACTAGCTTAGCAGGAAAACAACAGCAGTACTCACACTACAAACTTGCCCCGCAGCGTTTAGCTGTTCCCTACTGATTCAAACAGGGCTAAAGTAATCGCCACACAATCCACATTTCTCCAGACCATAATTCTTGCTTTGTAAAAGAAAACAAAACCCCAAACAGAGAATCAAATGTCCGGACCCTAACCCTGCGCATGAGGGAATGCTTCGTCATTAACGGACGATGCATATAGTCAAAATCAATGTAATTAACACAATGACAAGAACAAACTCACATGTACAATACGTATATGACGAGCCATTCAAATATTATTCACATCAGAGGGAACAATATTAACCATATCATAAAAATGACACCATAGACAAATTAACACAGTAGTAAAGCTACTGCAGATGTAAAAAAAAACAAAAGCACTTCACTTACCAAAGCTGCTGTTCACTTAAAGACAAAGTCCATCCTCCTTTCTTTGGTAACAAAGAGTTTAATACCGCTGTTGGGGATTCGACCCCTGAGTTGCTGATTTAAAGATGATTATTGACCACTACAGGGTTCCGGTCAGAGAACACGCAGACATCTGTTTGATCCATACGTTTCTGTATTCAGTCTTATAGTTTGTTGACAGATTTACAGATGATGAATGAGTTTGAACAATAGATGACCGATGAATGACCGAGTTTCTGAAATAAACACAGAAAACGAATTATAGAACTGAAATACTAGCAATAGTAAACTCTTAAAGCAAACACACATACATTCACAGAATACAGGCTTGCTAGCCAGGTTAGCCACTTAGTTCAACTTTGGGCTATTATTTCGACGGCTAATTACATGACAAACACTGACAGTAAATGCACTTAAAAACATTAAGTACAACAACAAACGGAACAGTTACGCCACATAGCTTCAGATTTACACTTCTATCACTTACATCGTCAATGACTCGATCTGATTCGACCGTTGGTCCTACGTAAGATCTACCGTTAGCGCAACCGGAAGCGGAAACAGTCCGCAACGTCCAATACAATTTCAGAATAAAAGCTCCGTAACTTTATCGTCTTTGTCTGTGAAGAATTCACAACAACCGCGGTTGTACAGAACATCCGTGCGGTTCAGTTCCAGCCAGAGGTCCTCCTGCGAACTTGTCCTAACTTGCCCCCCCAAAATGTTCTTCAGCCCCCCCAAATAATTTGGCATTATTGGCTTTAAAAAATATATATATATATTAGTGCTGGACAAGTTAACGCGTTAATTTCGCGTTAACGCATTCATTAATTAATGCCGACAATTATTTTATCGCACGTTAACGCATTTTTTAAATTTATTATAATTTTTTTTCTTTTAATTGAAAGACAAGAGACAATACATATACTGTATATAACAACAAGAGGATGACAAGAACAGTGGGATAAAAGCCAGCAAACATCCTATAGTCAGTTGTGTATGTGTGTGTGTGTGTGTGTGTATGTATGTCCTTGAGCCTTTTGAGATGGGAAAAAAAAAAGAATAATAATAATAATTAAAAAACAACAACAAAAAAAAACAGGTAAGTATTTTTTATTTATTATTATTGTAACAGACTGTCTCATGTTTATCGTTTTGTATTGGAGATATGATGTCCTTCAGGATTGCCGTAGAGAAAAGGCGACTTCCGATAACTTTTGATGATCTAGATCCACTTATGATCCACAGCAAATTTCGTAGAAATCGGACCCAGCGTGTAGGAGTTCGCAAAAATGTGGTTTTTTTCACTAAATTCAAAATGGCTGACTTCCGGTTGGGTTTAGAGCTTAGAGCTCCAAGGGCTTTTTTGTCAGTCTACATGTGATACATCTGTTTACCAAATGTTATGCATCAAAATTTTATATATAGATAGTGAAACGTACTGCGAGGGCTGCATCGTCGAAATATTGTATAAATTCATACAAAATTGAAAATGGCAGACTTCCGGTAGGGTTTAGAGCATGGTCCCAAGAGACTTATTTTTAAGTCTCCATAGGATACATGTGCCTACCACGTTTCATACATGTAGCTCAAACATAGCGCTGGGGCTGCTCTTTTGAAATATTGTAGGGGGTGCTATAGAGGCAATTTAAAACGGCCAATCGCTTCTCCTCTCACGGACAGCCGGCTCTTGGTCACCAGCTAATGCTAGCTTATTGCTAGCGCTCCCTAACCGGACCATGCCGCCGCTGTACTCCACGTCAGATCTTCACAACTTCAACAACCACCTGCGTCCGGATTGCATGGACATTCTCAAAGAACATGGAATACTTCGCCGAGGCCATCCTTCACACAGAGGTTCTGGCCGCATGTTCACTTACAACTTCACGTCCCCAAACTCCATCCCATCCCTCTGGTCCTGTCGCACCCGAACTTCCTTGTTACGTCACCACAACCCCTTCCTCAGTCCTCACAGCATATCACAAAGCAACGTCACCTGAAACTGGCTTTGCTCAACACTCGCTCACTCAACAACAAAAGCCTCATTCTGAATGAATTCATAACGGACAGTAACCTTGATTTCCTCTGCCTCACTGAAACATGGCATAAAACCCTGGACTACTTCTCACTAAACCAGACCACTCCCACCGGATTCACATACATTGACAAACCTCGTCCTGAGGGGCGGGGAGGTGGTGTTGCTGCTGTTTACAGGAAGGACATTAAAACAACCACCATTCCCATTCCTGCCGTTCATTCTTTTGAACACCTTGCCTTCAAACTCTCTGGTCCCACTCCTTTGGTTGCTGCTGTAATCTACCGTCCCCCCTAAGCCAAATCCCTCCTTTCTCTCTGACTTCAGATTTTGTGACTCAGCTATGTGCCATCTCACCTTCCGTTCTCCTCCTAGGTGATTTTAACATCCACATTAATAACACTGACTGTAAATCTACGACAGAATTCCTGGAACTACTACAATGCTTCAACTTCACACAACATATCAACTTCCCCACCCACAGCCGAGGTCACATCCTGGATCTGGTCTGCTCCACTGGTCTCACAATACCGCAACTCTCCAGCCTCAACATCTCTGACCACCTGGCTATCACCATGGACATTGACATCCCTATCCCCATGCCAAAAACGAAGCGCAACATATCCTTCAGAAATCTCAAATCTATCTCCCCCACAACTCTTTCAGCCTCTCTTGCCAGTACCATGTCTGCCTCCCCTGCCCCGCTGTCTGATAATCCCTCCGATCTTGTAAACTACTACAATAACACACTCTCCTCCTGTCTTGATCAGCTGGCTCCCATCAAAACCAAAACTGTCTCATTCACACACTCAGCTCCCTGGTATACTCCTGAACTCCACCAGATGAAATCTCGAAAGCACCAGCTTGAAAGACTCTGCAAGAAAACCGGTTTAACAGTCCATCTCCAAGCCCTCTCCGACTAGCTTCAACAATACAAAGACGCTCTCATTTCAGCCCGGTCCACCTACTACTCACACCTCATACACTCTGGCTCCTCTAACCCAAAGGCTCTCTTCTCCACAATAAACAAGCTTCTCAAACCCAAGGACAACACCTCCACATCCTTCACAGTGAACAAATGCAACTCTTTTCTTTCATTTTTCCAAACAAAAATTGACACCATTTACAGCAACCTGAACACCTCCCCCACCTTTTCCATCTCTCCACCTGCCCCCCCCCCTCCTCCACCACTCAGCCCCTTTCTCAGTTCTCCCTTGTGTCCCCATTGGAGCTGCCAAACTTCACAACTGGAATGAGAAGCTCCACCTGCATCCTGGATCCTATCCCATCTACTCTGGTCAAGGACTGTCTCCCAGCCATCTCACCACTCATCACAGTCATCATTAACTCGTCCCTCAGCTCCGGTTCAGTCCCCAACACACTTAAACTGGCTGCTGTCACCCCCATCCTCAAAAATCCTGGACTTGACCCTGACACCATGAGCAATTTCCGTCCCATTTCCAATCTTCCCTTTCTGTCAAAAATACTGGAACGCATTGTCGCCACACAACTCAAAGCCCACCTCATCTCCAACGATCATTTTCGAGCCATTTCAATCCGGTTTCCGTTCACAGCACAGCACTGAAACAGCCCTCCTCAAAGTCACCAACGACCTCCTCCTCTCCTCCGACGCTGGTCACCTCAACATTCTCATCCTCCTCGACCTCACTGCAGCATTTGACACCATCAACCACAACGTCCTTCTCTCCCGCCTCGAATCCTCCCTCAACATCACCGGAACTGCTCTCTCCTGGATTAAATCATATCTCACAAACGGACAACATTTCATCAGTATCAATAACTGCACCTCCACCACTGCTCCTCTGTCTCAAGGCATCCCCCAGGGTTCGGTGCTTGGTCCTCTTCTGTTCATCCTGTACTTGCTCCCTCTTGGTAACATCATCTGTCAACATGGTCTTCAATTTCACTGCTATGCCGATGATGTCCAGCTCTACATCTCCACAAAGGCCATTACCACTGCTACTCACTCCACTCTCACCAACTGCCTCACTGACATTAAATCATGGATGCAAACCAACTTCCTCAAACTGAACTGTGATAAATCTGACATGATCATCATCGGTCCCACATCCCTCACCAAAACCAGTCACAACTTCTGCCTCACCATCGACAACTCCACTCTGTCTCCCTCCCCACACATCCGCAACCTTGGAGTCATGTTCGACAGCAACCTCTCCTTTGAACACCACGTCAAACAAATCACCAGAACTGCCTTTTTCCACTTAAAAAACATAGCCCGTCTCCGCCCATCACTCTCCTCATCTGCTGCTGAAACTCTGATCCACGCCTTCATCACCTCAAGAATTGACTACTGCAACAGCATTCTCCACGGCACATCATCCAAAATCCTAAATAAACTCCAGTACATCCAAAACTCTGCTGCTCGCCTGCTCACCCACACCCGCTCCCGTGACCACATCACCCCTGTTCTCCAGAACCTCCACTGGCTCCTCATCCCACAACGGATCCAATACAAAATCCTTCTCCTCACTCATAAAGCCCTCCACAATCAGGCCCCCTCCTATCTCACCGACCTGCTTCACCACCACACTCCATCCCGTCGGCTCCGCTCCTCTGATGCCAACCTCTTGTCTCTTCCACTCAGGACCAAGCACCGGACATGGGGTGACAGAGCCTTCTCCATATCTGCCCCCTCCCTCTGGAACTCTCTCCCCAAACACATCCAAAACTGCACTGACCTTTGCACATTGAAATCTCAAATCAAAACCCACCTGTTCAAAACTGATTTTAATGTGTGACCACTGTTGTGTATTTTATCTTTTTAGTGTATTGCTTTTATATATGATGATTTTAATGTAAAGTGTCTTTGAGTTTTATGAAAAGCGCTATATAAATAAAATGTATTATTATTATTATTAACCTGGCTAGGAGGAATAAATAAAAGTATAAAATATGACATTTCCTTTAGCCAGAAGGCGGCGCTATGAGTTATTGAAATATTTTCAATTGAAGTATGTTTAGGCTTGAAGTAGCATCATGCATAAGAAGTTTTGTGCAAATTGGATAATGTACCTTGGAGTTATAACAACTTATTTTTTCATAAACAATGAGGCAAAATGGCCGCCACGCCACGTCAAGGTTCTTTGATGAAAACTCGATTTTGATAACTTTTAATCACAAAGGTCTTAAGAGCATCCTGACCAAAGTAGAAGTTGATCGCTTAAAATCTCTAGGAGGAGTTCGTTAAAGTGCGAAGGCTGAAATCTGCAAAAGGTGACAAAAAGCACAACTTCGAGGGTTTACTGTTGCGCCCCCTAGTTGTTGAATGCAAAATGAATCTCAGGGTATGTTAGAGGATGCAATGTGCATATATGCTGAAAATCTGGTAATTTTAGGACAAACGGTTGAGAAGTTATATGTATTGCTATTAAGCCACGCCCCTAAGAAGTTTATTGGTACATATCTTGTAAACGAAAAGAGATATCATAACTTTTGATGACGTAGATCCAGTAATGATCTACAGCAAATTTGGTAGTAATGGGACTAAGCATGTAGGAGGAGTTCGCAGAAATGTGTTTTACACTAAATTCAATATGGCGGAAAATCTAAGTAGGCGGAGCTTAGGGGTCTGATTGGCTTTTTTGTAACTCTAGCTCAAGTGGACATGTGTGTCAAATTTCAAGTCAATCGGACATACTGGCCGAGGGGCGTCGCCGGTCCGACTTGTAGGGGGCGCTAGAGAGCCATTTCTTAACATAGAAAGATGCATTGTTTTTCAGATGGCTATATTCACCAGGCCTGACAAGTCTCCAAAATTTGGTGAGTTTGTCCTCCAACAAGTCCTCCAACCATGCATACGTTTACCCAAACGGGTACAATATCAATAGGGCCTTCGCGGCCCGACGTCGGTAGCTCGGGCCCTAATAAATAAAGAAAAGAAGCTGATGGAAAATGAGTGGGACCAGAGAGCTATGAGAACTGTAATGGAGCAGCTCTTTTCCAAATCATGTTACTTGTCATTTCAACATAGCAGCACACAATGAGAAGAACTAGACAGCTTTAACTTTAAACTTTAGTCCATTATGATTCAGGTTCATGATTTAGATAGAAAACATATTCAAATTATTTTCCAAAGTTTTAAAAACTAGTTGAACAAAATAATGGAATGTAAACAAATTATATTTAAAGGTGCTATCAGTAATATTTTAAGTGGTTTTAAAAACAACAGTGTCATTAAATACATGATTTGACATGTTTTGAAATTTGATAACATTTTACCAAATTTACCTCACATTTTACTTGAGAAAGGAAACACTGCTAGATGCATTCAGTTTTTGGATGTACGAAACAGAGGAATCAGCTTTTAATGATGGGCCTGAGTGCAAGAGTTTTTTATGGTTCCTACTCGCGTATACACAGTCAAGTAAACACACACACACACACATACAGATGCGCGATGGCACACAGTAAGACAGACAACTTTGATTTTCTGTCAGACTTTCATACCATTTTGTATGAACAAGTGATATAGAACTAGATAAACTTAGGTAAATTATTGCAATACTGTTAAAAAATAGCCTTTTCTTTTTTTTCGGCATATTTGAGTATTTATTTTTCCTTCTGTCACCGCCCCCATAACTTTGTTTGGATGGGAACTGTTGGGGCCGTGCTCCGCCCCATCCCCGGTGGCTAGAGCTGGGGCTAAGTGGAGAGCAGGGCCGTCCTTCAATCAGATGGTCGGCGGTTCGATTCCTGGCTCCGGCACCGCTAGTCGCATGTCGATGTGTTCTTGAGCAAGACACTTAACCCCAAATTGCTCCCATAGCTGTGCCTACAGTGTATGTGATAGAATCTGAATTGTAAGTTGCTTTGGATAAAAGCATCTACTATGACTGTTATGTTATGTAGAGCTCAATTTGGGTCACTCTGACCGTTCCCTTTTGAGCGGGCGACATGGGGAAGGAAGTATGAGTTACCAGTAACTAAAGGTAAAGGGTCTGGGGGTGTCCCAAAGCTGGACCACTCTGTCAAAAAAAGAACAACCAAACACAATAAATAAAAAATAAAGAATGAGCATGCAAGTATAATGCATGTCAGCATACATCATCAACGCACATGACCCAGCCTGACATGACAGACTGAAGAACCAGGATAACAAACATAACCGGCCTTAACAAACCAACTGCACCCTGTACTGAACTCAGCTTTGTTTTATTTCGTCAGGTACCTCTGTATTTGGACACCAGGATTGCAGTGAAACCCCAGCCCAAGCCTCGATGCTGCCATCTCATTGGCGTAGACCAGTCCATTATGGAGATGCAGATGACCTACCCTGACCTTGCCTTCAGGGGCCGTCCTCTGCTACCAGACAAACATCAACGAGCAAACAGCAGCAGTAAAGACGTTCACACTATTAGCACCAATGATAACAGTGGTGACAGTAAAGCTGCTGAGGTTCCCAAAATAGAGTGTATTAAAGGCACCAAAGTCTCTGCTACAACTATACGCAGTAAAAATTATGGCAGCAAAGCTGATGAAGTTTTTGGTGACGATTGCAGAGGCAGTGGTTGTAATGACATGAACAGTGGTGAGCCCGCCGCAGGAGACACCAATAGCAGCCACAACACTGATGGAAGCAGAGATGATGGTGAGCTCAGGGGTCCTCAGGCCATTTCTCTGCACATCACACTGAGAGCTGCAGCCAAAGCAGAGCAGAGCCTGAAACATGGAGAGGCTCAGCCCACAGCAGAGCCTCCTGCCTGGACACAGCAGCAGACGGTAGCAGGTAACACACTCACACATCTAAAGTACTAAATTTCAGGTAACATATGTACACAATTTCAAATATATCGTGCACTGAATACCAGAAAAAGCTGTAGCTCAAATTTCTATCCCATGAATGAGGAGTCTAAAATCCTCCTATCACAGGATACATAATCTCATAATAATGTAAAAGTTTATAGGTTAAAACAAGAGAGAACCAGAGATATTCAAACGATAGCTACCACAGTATAAACTGTATGGCAAAATGTCAGTCTATTATCATTGCCCCCCCCCCCCCCCTAATTTTCATTATGTTGAAATATTACAGACTCTCTTTTCTAAGAAGAAGAGTCTCGCTCTATGCACTTACGTTTCATTTGTTGATTATTTTTGCCTTGGAAAACTAAGGTTTTGTTACTTGCTGTACTGTCACCTGCAGCATAAATATGAAACTCTGATTTTTACAGACCTACAAAATAAGAGACCGGCTAACCCAAAGCTTCCCTCTCTGAGCTCCACGGACGAGGTGCAGGAGCTAAGGGAGCTGGCAGAGAGCATGTGCCAGTTCCATGTGCAAGAGACCAAAAAGGAAGTGAAGAGAAAAGAAGAAAACAAGAGGGAAGAGGGAAACACAAATAAAGAGAGGAGTCAGACACAGAGAGAGGCAAACACAGATGGAGAGGCAGAGGAGGAGAACCTCAGTAAGCCAGCAAGTAGATCCTCTCAGTTTGATCCTGCAATGATGGAAGAGCAGAAGCAGCATACTGAGTGTCACCACTCAACACTGGCCGCCAGTACAGCAGATTGCCAGAGCTGTACAGGAGGAGACAATACAGAACAGCAGGAAGTAGAGGATACTGTGAGAGCAGAAACAGGCAGAGATGAGGAGCAGCTGACAAAAAGCTTTGTTATAGTCGAGCGTCACAAGAAATAACATGCTCTCCAGGCTAGTTTACATGTACTGTATATGGAAATTATCAAGAACAAAACTACTGAGCAAGCCAATACCAATACAAGCTGTTATCAGTCTGTAAACCAAGATTTAACAGTGCATTAAACGAGTCGTTTTAATTATTTAACACTCACCCTTGTTGGCTTGACTTATGGCTGTAAAAAGATTGTAGTTTTGTTAAGTACAGAAACTAAAAACTGTTAGTTACAGTGAAGGAACATCCTGAGTTTATGGATTGACAACAGAGAAGTGGGTAATGCTGCAGTGGTATTTGTTTTCATTGGAGTCCACTGTTGATAGGATATAAGGTAATTATAATATAAGATAATTGGAACTCACCCCAGTCACTGCTCCTCATAAGGGACAAAACTAACAATTGTTTACCGCCACAAGTCAAGCCTAAAGGTAGAATTCTCCAGACAAGATACTTTCACATTCTATAAAAACTTAATAAACTTGTTTAAATGAACTCCAATGTAAATTTTACCTCCTCACTTGTACTTATACCTGTCTTACTTGTAGAAATAATTGAAAGAAGCAATGTATAAATACACAAATGAATAGCCAGTCAGCAAGTTTTGAAAAACATCTTTCCCAATAAATATCTTAGTTTGAGTGATGATGTCCCTCATGTACACAAATGTACAAATGTGATTTCACTTGTGGGATTTCTGTATTTGTGTTCTTGCCTTTTCTCTAGATTGACGTCGGTGGAATTTAGCTAAAACAGGGTGATGTCGCATTCTTCCATGGGCCATCACAGCTGAGCAA